TCCCCTGTAAGTATTAATTTTTCTCTTACCATTTCATGTGTGTCTGTCTTTATTAAGTTTTTTGTTCCTTGCAGTTTTGGTTCACTGTTTTCTTAGCGCATTAGAATGAAATTGTGAGGCATTTTGGCAAAATACATGGTTCACTTTGAAAATTTTCTGACTCAAGGCCAGAATTTCTGAAAGGGTCCAAAGCCCACCCTCTGCAAGTACAGTTTTGTATATAATTGCAATTTACCACATGTTCAGAAGGCGCACATATTTAGACATCTAACTGGCTAAGACTCCAAATTACAGCTGCAGTACTGAAGGTCTGGTTTTGTTTTTTTCTTTGTCAAATCTGATCATAAGTGTATACTTCAGAAAACACACTAATCTTTCCACTGGAAATTAAAAGAAAAAAGTTATTAAATATACCTATAGCCTGAATTACTGTGCCTTTTTTTTTTTTTATTTTCTGCTCTTTTCTTCTGTACTTGGAATGGTAACTTCAGGGCATTTTGACACCTGCAGACATCAACAGTAATACTGGATTACTGAAGGAAAAGATATATGAAAAGACATAATTTCAAATTGCCTTAGATATGTGAAAAAGTAAATATTTCCTACAGTTCCTTTAACTCCTTAGGAAAAAAACTTGGCCTTCACCTAGCAAATGTGAAGGTTTTGTATATTTGACATAAGTTTGCTTGAACGTAAGGCCCTGATGTTTCTTTAGTGACTTTTCAGACTGTTTGACTCCAGACATTCTGCTAGGCCTTACACGGATGTATTTTTATAATTTGTCCTTGGAGAAACTGCACATTCCAGTATTTCATTGTTTTGTGTATATTTTATTTTTTTGCTGTATATCTGAAATTTCACATTCTACAAATACAAGGAAGAAAGAGAATGGCTCTTGCCAAAGTGCAGAATTCAATTTCTCTGTATTTTTGCTAACAAATACGGTTGGGCCCTACTGTTACCATGCTGTGGTCATTTCATTACTTGCCCATATGATATAACAACAATTACTTTTTTGATAAATACTGTATCTGAATTGCCAAGCTGCTTGCCCTGGCATAAACCAATTCAAACAGTTATTTTGACTTTGAAGTCATTTGGTGTCATATAAAATAGATGTGTATGTGTAATGTATCACGTATCCTTGTGGGATTTGCGTCTTTGTGTGTTCCTGGGTTTCCTCTACATGGTCTAAATTAGACATTTTGTTCCAGGATTAGAAACTTGCTCTGGCCAGCACATGTGTATGTTCGTGGGTACAACTGTTGTCCTGTTTTTGTGTTGCTTTGTGACTCAGCCTTCTGGCTGCTGCCTCCTTTTGTGCCTTTTTTTTCCTCCCATCAAAAGGAATTTGTTCTTTTCTTTCATGATGAGTTTGTAATCATCTTTATCCATTCAAAATGGCTATGTGTCTGTAGAAAGTGGTTTGTTTGCAGCAAGTAATTAAGTTCTTCAGTGTTCTTGGGGAGACAAAATACATTGAAGTTTAGATCTTCTTTTTTGTTGTAGAGAAGAGAGAGATTCATGTTGCTATGAGCAGAGTGGCAGCCCTTCCGCCCACAGTTGTTTTTAAAGATCTTTAGACTAGTCTTGAGAATTAGTAGCCAGTTCTGCCTTTCTGGGTTTTGCTTGGTGATGGTTTCAACTTGGGTATTTTTAGAGGCAATTCATATGATGAATGTTCACGTGTGACGCGTTTGATGCTACTGTGAACAGGACAGAAATCTTATCGAAGGTGAGAAGTGGGTGAGGTTGAGTCTCCTCAGTCATGGGTGAGTTCTTCTCTTGGTTAGTCAAGCATACAGTCTCAGAATGCCAGGATTTAAGAAAAGTTTTGAAATCTTCATGGCTTGTAGCTTCTAAGCTTTACTGTCGGTGCTTTCCAGACAGCAGTTGTAGTGGTTACAGAGTGAGGAAGAGCATGGAAAATGGACTGTGCTGCAGGAACAGCAGCCAAACATAAGGACTGAGACACCTGGTATCTTGGCCCAACGTAACTGCTGCTGTGCAGAAAGCTAAGTTGATTTTCAGGGTGCTCTGGATTCCATCCTTGGCAGGATTTGATTTTGTTTCTTATTCTGACAAGAATTAAATATATTGCTCTAAAGCTGTGATTTGAATAGTGAGGCAGGGTTGGTGGAAGCCATTTAAAGAGCTTTGAAGATAGTGAGTAGGGCTATAGATAAAAGAATTGGTTTGTGACACATTAAGATGAAGTTTCTCAATTTTAGGAGAAGGCATAGATCTTATTGTCAGTTTTGGAAAGTTCATCGCAGCTATTTAACTGCAGAACTATAAAATGCTAACCAAGTTCCACCTTCAACATAATAAGAAGGTCAGTTGTATATGCTTTCAAGCACTAATATCAGAGTATTGTAGGTTTTTATATGAACTGTGTCCCAAGACATTAGATTGGCAAAACAGGTTTAGTAAAAATCATACATTTGAAGTAGAAATATTTTGGGTTTTTTTCTTTTATTTGATATTACTATCTGTACCTTCTTTTGTAGCTGCTTCAGTACTAATCAGGTATCAGTTTAAGAGTTTGCATCCAAAAAGATATTTATATATTTCTCTGGAAAAGACAGTTTTTTCCAGAGAGCTAAAAAGTTTGTGAGAACCATCTCTGACAGCTTGAGAGCCGATACCTCAGAAGAACAAACAGGAACGAGCTGTAGAATCCAGTCTCTTAAATGAGCGATTTAGAGTAAGTTTGGAATGGAAATGTGGGTGATCAACCGGAATGGCTGCAAGATGGAGACGTTCCTGTGTGCTGACTGGGCAAATAGCTCTGGCAAAGGTGGTAGCAGGCAGAAGTGGGAGGCAGCTGCTGCAGCTGTTTGGTCAATGTGAATCAGAATCCACAAACTCAGTGGAAGTGGCAACCGAGCGCTGGCAGATCCCCAGAATGCAGGGTCTTCCATGTGGAGAAATGTATGTTGTCCAGCAGGGAACTCAGCCGACCTCCTTCAAAGTTATCTGTTTGGAATTGTTTTTTGGGTTTGTGTGTGCAGAAGGAATGTACGGCATGTATTTGGGGCTCTTGGCTTTAGCCACGAACCTTAAAAAAAAAATAAAAATTACAAATGCAGTTTAAAAAATCTTTTAAACATAAAATAATAAATATTAAAGCATCTGGTGCCGTAAATACAAAATGTAAACATAAAATATAGATAAACTACAGTTATCAATATCAGCTGCCATGATTGTGAATGATGCTTGGTGCTCACCTTTTAGAGTCAGTAATTTAAAGGCAAGTTTTGCAGTTTTTCTCTCACAGAGGCTGGAGTGGGGTGTGAGGTACTTCACATAAAGTTTAAGCAATTGAAGTGTTGGTTGTACATAAAGGAAATACACATTAACAAAGTCAAAACAGAAGAAGCAAAGCAACTTTTTAATACTGGTACTATTATGATGGAGTTGCAGCCCAATGAATGAGCAAAGACTGGACAATGGTAGAAGCAGGTAGAAGCAGATAAAAGCAATTAAAGAGGTGCATAAAATGATAAAAACTATATTAATTGTTCTTATATGTACCAGTTTCATCATCCTGAAAATTGTATTTAGTTTTAAGGGTTCCGAGAAGTCAGGGAAGGGACTAGAGCTCAACAAAACTTGTCAGGAGAAGAAAGGTTGAAGAGATTAGTGATGTTTAAATCGCAGGTTGAATCAATATGAATATGAGGAAGTGTTAAAAAGGGCTATGAATTGCATGAAGATAAAATAAGAGGCCCTTAGGTGACATTAAAAAAGTAAGAAGACTATTCAGTAGAAGACAAGGAATTAATTAAAATATAATATCAAATGCACCAATAGTTTTAGAAGCTAAAAGTTTATTGAACAGCTGAGAGATTCAGTACTAAGAATATCAAAACAACCCTCCCAAAAATCAGTATCCCATGTCTGCTGACAGTCATGTATGGGTGATGTTCAGGGAAGGAACAGGTTAGATCACATAGATGGTGCCTTTTCAAACGTAAAGGAACCTGACATGCACAGTCTAAGGACTTGGTGAGCGAGATGCTGTATCCATGTGTTTGTGTTTAATAGCGTCATTTGGGGTTCTTTTTTCTATCTGTATATTTTTGTCATCCCACCTACACTTTTGGCTTCTGTGTTGTGGCAATGAGTCTCACAGTTTTAATTATGGTTTATGTGATGTAGTCTAGCCTTCCCATCTAGTTATTATAAACCTGCTGCCTGATTTCACCATTTCATGGATTTCATTAGGAAGAATACCCAGTTACATGAAGAAAATCCTCTTTTTAAAGAGAAGGCCAACCACGACCCAAGGCTATCTCTCTAAGTGAGGCTGTCTGCAATTATTCACTGGGGGATGTATTGTTGCCTGTAGGATACAGTATTCACTGTTCAACTGTCTTCTGGTGGAACAGCCTCTGTAGGCTTCATCCTGGCCACAACTGCCGTGTCCTTACAGTGAATAAAGTTGATTTCTGGATATTTCAAAATAAGCTGTCAATTACTGAGAATGAAATGCTTTGCCCCATGAATATACAACATTACACACACTTTTTTGTGGCTTTCAGGGTGCCTATCCTGGGAGCAAGACCTGCCTGCCTAGAGCTCAGGGGTAGAACCTTTTTTAACTGATAAAACCAGCCATCTGTCCCCAGACTCACTTTATGTATGTAAATAAGTATGTATGTAATAACAGGCAAACACCATGTTACTTCACCTTGTAGGTGTAAGTTCAGTGCATGCTTGCTGGCCCTCACACTTAGTTCAGGTGTTCACATACTGTAATGACAACAGAACAGGTTGGTTTCTGAGGCCCAGAATATTACCAGATCTCTCGCTAACTCATAGGTGTAATGAGCAAAATCAGAGATGCTCTGTCAAAATCACAGAAGTTCTTTTTAATTAAAAATAGGAAGTGGTTCCTGCTTGTTGGGCTCTGGGTTCCAGCGGTGATCATGTAAAGTGTTTTGCAGTGAGTATTGAGTATCCTAATCTATACTCCTTTGTTTGTCTCTTTCTAGGAGAAGCTCTGCCTACCACATCACATCCTAGAAGAAAAGGGCTTGGTAAAAGTGAGCATAACAGTTCAAGCACTGCTAGATGTAACCACAATGAAACAAGCTTTATTCACATGAAGCTCCTCTCTGCTGTTACCAGCTCCACTGTGCCATCAGTCAAAATACTGCCCAGCTTTTCAAACTGCATTGAAAACAACCCAGTGCTCCAAGAGTATTCTTACAATTCTGATTTCAAAATCACCTTTCAGACTGTACCTGTGCATCAAACGAGAAACCAGAAACTAAACTGAAACATTTTCTAGAGCAAATTGGCACTTCATTGCTTTTTATAGCTCACTTTGTACAGTACTTACTTAAACAGCCACCTCTCTGCCACTTACAGATGTGTGGAGTACACAGCTGTCTTGCAGCAAGATACCTTTGTATTATTAACCTAAGAATCACTGTAATCATGGGGGGGAGGGTGAGTAAATCAGACTTCTACCATGTTAGGTTTTTCTGCAGTTGCTTCAGGCTATTACTGCCTTTTAAAAGTATCCAGACATCAAATATTTATATAAATATTATTTATTAGTGAGTTGTTATTCATCCTTTGGATGCAAAAATGTAAATTAGGAAACTGTATTTTATTACTGCTTTTTTGTGGTTAAACACTTTATTTTAATATAAATATTGAGTTATTTTTTATTCTACTTGGTGTGCAGTAGCTCTAGCTCTCCGTAAATTGTATTTTCTAATATGTAAGAGAGAAAAAAGCAAACACAAGAGGTGCTTTTCTGAAAAGGACAGCTAGCTGGAATGCCATTCTTGATCTCTTCAATTTGTGGAACATTTTTGTCAGCATTCCATTGAGTTTCCTACATTCCAGTAGCACTTTTCCCCCCTGACTAGTGAATTGGCTGAAACTAAAGAGCACACCCATTCTAGTTGTATATAGAGGTTAAAAAAACGCAAAAAAAGGAAGGATGTAAACTTGAAAAATAAATGTGAATGAATATTTTTGATCGCTTATTTTACTATGCACAAGACATTTAACTTTTGCCACAAGAAAATTAACGATGTGCATTAGGATCATGTGTCTTGAGATAGGATTTTGCACTGTAACTTGATTTCTTTTAAAGACTACAGCACTACAGAACAAATAGTAAGAAACAGCACAAGAACAGTAACAAGAAGAGTAACCAGGCAGCCAAAACTGATTCAGTTGTTTTCTTCAGTGATTCCTTCAAGAGGAGATAAAATTATTAAAATTGCCAAAGGCAGACTCAAAGACCTGATCTTCCAGATCCATCCTGCTGGGTCCAGGGCTTCTCCTTATGGTCTCCATCACTTCCCCAAAGAACTAAGCACAATGTTCTGCAGTGGATGTTTGCGGGATCAGACCTCTTATCCCACATCAGCAATAGAAAGTAAGATTCTTGTTCTTATCGCTACTTTAAAGTACCATTTATTATTAAAACATAATATATTTTAGATCAAAAAGTTCAGTTCTTGCCATGCCTGGAGCATCTGTTTTCCTTTCCTATGAGAAGCTTAGGGATGTAACTAGAGCAAGCGGGACAGGAAAGCTGCATGTGGGGAAGAGAAGAGCTGGGGGGCAGTGGTGAATGGTCAGCAGGGAGTTGGACATACGTAATGACAAAAAAGAAGCAATGTGGTGGTGGGAGGACTAAACATTTGAGCATGAGAGTGGGGAGAGGACTACTGTATAAAGGCTTTTGGGAAAGGTGATGCATACCTGTCACAGACACGCTGTACTTAAACCCATCAGTATTCCAACAGTAGGTTTATAAGGGTTAATACAGTGTTTGAATGCAAACTTATGTGATTTAATACCACAAATCAGGTATATAGTGACAGCAGTGTGTCAGGAGGAGTGTGGTATCGCAGCTCACGAGGCATAGGGTATGCATGGAATATCCAATTATTTCAACCAAAGCAAAAGAGTTTATTTTACAGAGGGAACATTGACTTCAAGTGTAATTTTCTAATTGGCAGCTAGCATATGGTTTCCTATAAAATGTACTGTGCACTTTAACACTAAATTAAAATGTATTTTAATATTTTACAGAGCTGCACAAATATCTGTTTTGTCAAAAAGCACGAGCAATGTAAAGAAAATAAGTTTTCAAGTCAGAGTTTATCAAATTTTAAATGCATTCACAGATCAAGTATAAAAAATAGGAATATTGATTTCTGCATCTTGAGGGGTAAAATGCAGGTTTCCTGAGTATTTTTTTACAATGTATATATGGCAACATGAAGCTTTGTAATTATTATTTTGACAAATCTTGGTTTTTTCATAATTAAAATTTTTGTTTTCTCCTGATAATGTCTTTCAGTATTTGCTTGACATTGGCTGTAAATAAAGAGCTCTAAATATTTTGTAATACAGCTTTTTTTATGCAGTCTTAACCTGTACGGCTGAAAGGAGAACCTCCATCAACCTTTGTACCCTATTTATATGTGCAATAAAACATGCATGGCAAAGCTCTACTACCCTAAGCAGCGCACATAATGTATATAGAAGATCTCTACTGTAGCTATAATTAAACTCTATTATTTGTAGAAACCCTTTAACAACTGTCCCTCTGACTGACAGCTTCTTGTAAAAGAGATGGTGTTGGGAGAGTTTCGCCCTGGGAATGATGGATGAGGGCTTGGGGATGGGTGCATTAACTGCCCTCTGCTTCTGGGGCTGGGTGTCATGGTGGGCTCAGCTCAGGGGGTCAGAAGCCTCCACCTTCAGTTTGCTCCTGCTCTTGTCACTGTGCAAGTGGTGTTCTTGTCACTGTTTTCCTCTTCTTCCCACAGCGCAGCTGCTTCCCCTCCGTGCCCTCCTTCTGAAATGCAGTGATTATTCCATACGCTTTTGCCAACAAACTGATGATGATTTCCTTATTCTAGTGAGTCCAAGCAGTAACACAGTGCCACTTTCTGACCTGGGCATAGAGAACCCAATGGCTGTGTCAGTGCTTATCCTATCTGCAGAAATGGGCAGTAGGAACTACTGTTTGTAGGTCCTACTCCAGAGCCTTCTTCCCATCCAAGTGCAGATTTTGGTATTGTCTCATTTCTCTAATGAAGCATCTTTAACCAGGTGGTTTTATGGCTGTATTTGCTCACTTTTGATAGTGGAATTTTTAAGGAGGAGCTCCTTCTGCAGCAATCTCCTGGGGAGATCATATATTTGATTGCTGAGGAAGCTTAAGCGCCTATGCGGCTGTTGCGATACACAGCCAGGACAGGCTGGTTGCCATAGGGTGGTGAGACACTGGCACAGGGTGCCCAGAGAAGCTGTGGCTGCCCCATCCCTGGCAGTGTTCAAGGCCAGGTTGGACAGGGCTTGGAGCAACCTGGTCTAGTGGGAGGGATCTCTGCCCATGGCAGGAGGTTGAAACTTTAGATGATTTTTAAGGTCCCTTCCCAACCCAAACCATTATTTGATTCTATAATTTAGGCAGGAGGAGTCCTACTGTGGTGTTCTGGTGCTGTCCTCACTGAAGGCCATATCCAACCAAGCCTTGTGCACTGCCAAGATTGGGGATCTGACAGCCTCATGCAATTCCCATCTTGGTGGTGCAGTAACGCCAGGGGTCTGTAGCCATCTGCACAACTGCACGTGCCCCAGCTCTTCTCACGGGTTTGTGCTGTCCCGGCCTTGTGGAGCCTGTCAGAACCTCACCTGAACCTGCTCCTGCTCACAAGCCAGGCAACTGCAGTCCCTCCCAAGGAGCAAGGCAGCAGCGCCTGTGAATGCTGAGTTTTATCACAGAAGCAAACAGCAAAGGAGAGCAGTCAATCATTAGGAGTGCCAAGTGGGCAATGTGACAGGTATTTTCAGCTCCAAAATTATAGGTGGGCAGGTGCTTAGGGAAGCTGACATAGTAATGGAGCTCCTGCTGGACTGTAAATTAAGGATACATATAATAAAGCTTCCCACACCCATCCACAATATTCTGGGAAACTTGCAATTATGCTGTATAAATTTATCACGTATAAAAGAGGGCTCTCCCCCCACCACGAAGGGCAAACTGCTTCCTACTGTTAACCCAGGAGCTTTAAAATGGTGGTTTGAAAGCACTTACAGTAAATTACCAGGTTTTTAATCTCCTGTAATATAACACACAGGTGCATAGACTCCTGCTAGGACATTTAAAAAGTGGCATGCCCATTTCCCTTAGCTACAATGATTTGTGCATTAGGCAAAAAATACTGCCTTTGACAGGTAGATACCGAATGGAAATGTTTATTGTTAGAAACACCCGCCCCAAGCTGAACACCCCAACTGCTGCTGCCCTGCTCTGTCCATAGTGCTTGGCCCAAAGCTGCTACAGCCCAGGAACACATTTGCTGGCCACAGCAGCAGTTCCCTGGTTGTGGGACGGAGAAGGAACAACTAGAAGCAGCTGCCACACATGAAACAAGCCTTTGAGCTAATTTTGCTGTTGTAGGAATGGAAAAATCCAAATGTTTAGCAGTTGTGGCTTAAAGTTTTTGTGTAAGTAAGTAAGGGTCCTGCTTTATAAGAAAGGGGGAGTTAGTTAGTGTCTGTTGTAAATCCACACAGTGTGGAAACTTGCATTCAGCATTTCAGAGAACTCCTGCAGTGCACACAGCCATATCTTCATAGAACAGTTTGGGTTGGAAGGGACCTGAAAGCTCGTCCAGTTCCAGGTCCCCTGCCATGGGCAGAGACACCTTCCACTAGACCAGGTTGCTCCAAGCCCCATCCAACCTGGCCTTGAACACTGCCAGGGATGGGGCAGCCACAGCTTCTCTGGGCAACCTTTGCCCATGTCTCACCAGCCAGCCTTCTAGGCTTGCTTCAGGAATAGGCAGATGCAAGACCAGTAAAAGTCAATACATAATTTGTCTGACACCAGCAACAGAAATGCAAGTTCCCAGCATCAGCCTCCCTGCAACCCAGAATCTAGCAGGGGCCAGAGAAACAGGCAAGCATTTAGCATTGCTTACAAAAGCAATTGATCCTACAGCTACCCTAGAATTTCCTCTGGCAAGAGGGAGTTGGGGTTTGGGCAAGGACAAAGGTTCAGCTGAACCATGGGCAAGCAGAGTTTACAAGTAATTGTATGAACGTGAGGTTGACAGCTCAC